GGCAGGGATGGCACCGCGGCAGAGACCCGGGGTCAAGGGATGGAGTAATGGAGATGGTGACAGGACAGGGACCAGAGAGCTTGAGGATTAGGGACAGAGGCATGGGGGACAGAAGGACAAGACTGAGGGATTCGGAGCTGGGGACAGAGAACTGAGGATTGGACGCTGGGGAGAGGGGACAGGATAGGGGGACAGAAGACAAGGGAAGAGATGTAGAGGAGAGAGGGGACAGAGACAGGGCAGGGGACAGGACCAGGGGACAAGGGTGGGGACGGAGGACAGAGAACAGAGTGACCGAGGAATACAGGGATGCAGGATGATGTTCAGCGAGCCGAAGAAAAAGGGGGCTGGGGCTGGCCTTGAGAGGTGGTGACCACAAACTGAGAAACAGGACCAGGGACCAGGACGGGGTTTGGGGGAGGGCAGCAATGAGGGGCAAGGAGTGAGAGTCAGGGGTCTGCAAGGTTGGCGAGCTGGAGGACTGGGGGATAAGGAGGGACAGCAGCCAGGGAGTAGCAGCTGGAGGGGAGGCAGCTTTGGTGGACAGGAGGGGTAGCCTTGGGAGGAAGGGCCGTTGAGGAGAGGGTGAGGGGCTGCAGAGGGACTGAGGCAGGCAAGGCCCTGGAGGGCAAGACCGGAGTGGTCCAGTCACTCAGGGGACATGCGGGTGGGGGGCAGGAGCAGGGGTGTGGGCTGAGCAGTTAAGACCAAAGGGTTTGGGAGGTGACCAGGAAAGCTGGGAGGGGGCACTCATCAGGCTCCCCCAACACCCAGAACCTCACACCTACACACATTCATACATACCCCGCTTAGCCCCACTGGACACTCCAGGTCCAGCCCAGGATGCTGCCTTGGGTTCTGCTCCGTGCCTTGTCTCCTACCCTGGACCTCCTCTGCTCCCACAGCTCTGCCCAGAGGAGGCCCACCTGGTGCTCTGTGCAGGATCCCGGGGTGATGTCCTGGGTTCAGCGCTGGGTCCCCACCCTGGCAGGATGAACTTGCGGAACGGAGCTCCAGAGCCAGGGGCGAGGGACATTCCTCGTCCCCACTCAGATACACCACAGATCCAGCCCCTCACACATGGGCAGCTCACGCAGATACAGCCGTATCCACAAGCACACACACACACACACGGACACACATCGAGACTCACGCTCATGGACCCAGGCCTGTAGAGACTGACATGCATGGACAGTTCCCCCCACACCACCCACAGTCAGACGCACAGACATGCAGCCGGTATACATGTGCGCAAACACACGTGCACACACATACATGTACAGATGCATGCACACAAAAATATGCACATTCATGGACAGCTAGCACATATATAAGGGAACCCTCAAACTTGTATTCATGCCCACGGGAATGCATGTGCACAGAAAAAACACCCACATAGGTAAACTCACAGTCTCCAGTGAAACGGGCTGTGCAGGGGAGCTGCGAGGTAGGGTGGCAGGCAGGGCAGGACTGGCTGGGGTGGGTAGTGATGAGGTGCAGGTTCCTGGGACACCAGGAGAGAACTGGGGGTTGGCGGGGTAGGTGAGTAGGGAAGAGGGCACGATTGGGCCACAAGGGGCCTGGGGGTTCTCAGAGCTGTGGCCTGAAAAGACTGCTTTCCCAGGGTTGGGAGGGGGGGAAGGGCACAGTCTCTTCACCCAGCAGGATGCTGCGGGGGCCTGCATCGAGGCTCTGGGTGTTGGGCAGTGTACCCCCAACTCCGTGCTTCAACTCTCTTCTCCTGGGAGGAGCCAGCACCCTCCAGAATTGCAGCCTGGCAAACCCCAGACCCCCCTGGGGAGGGGACTTTGACCATTGGCCTGAGAGAGAGGACTTGTCTGGGGAGGGGCAACAGTTGGGGAAGAGGTGATGTCCAAAAAGAGAGGCAGGCAGGAAGTCTTTGTCCAAGGCGGAGGGAGGCATTGTCCAAGGGCCAGTCCACGCCTGTCCGATCGACGCAGCAGGGTACCCACGGGACAGCCAGGAGTCCCTCTGGCGTCATCCCTGGGCTGGTGCAGAGCCAGGACCAGCCAGAGAGGCTGTTGGAACTCAAGGAGGGGGCTGTGTTCCCAGCTGGGGTCCTGCAGAGATGACAGTGCCCCAGCCCGGCCAAGTGCCCCTTCGCCAGGTCCCTCACAGGGCTGGGGAGGGCCCCACCAGGCTCCCACCCCTTCTCACTCTGGTGTGGATTATCCACCACTTTGGGCTGATCTCTGAGGCATTCACATCCTTGCCGACGTCCCCTGACCACCCCGAATTCTCCAGCCTCACCATCATGTGCCGCGTCCTCGGGGAATGTAAATCAATTTAAGTATTAGTCTCAGCGAAATGGAATGGGAGAAGGTGACGGTGCCAGAGAAAAAAATAAATCGCATAATGCCTTCCACAGCCGAGCAGGAGAGGCTTAGGAATTATCTGTGCTTCTCGGAGCAGGAGGGGGACCCGTCCGATCCCCCAGAACAGCCCGGGCAGGTAGGCCCAAGAGGGACGCTTACGGACATCTTGCCGATGAGGAAACTGAGGCACAGAGGGGTTAACTGGTTCACTTCACTGAAGGCCCTGAGAGACCATTGAGTCCGGTCCTTCCATTTGCAAGTGGGGAGACAGGCCCGGAGAGGGGAGTTGGCTTCACAAATGTCACATAGCCCAGCAGTGCAAGAGGCAGGAGAGAGTCCGGGCCTGGTGACCAGAGAATCTGAATTTCCGAGAGGACTCGGGCCAGGACTGGGTGGGCCTGATGCTGGAATTCTCTCCAGCCCTGATGGAACCTCCTGTGGGCCTGGAGCTTCCCGTGAGAGATACTCTGTGTTTTCCCCATGGGAGGGGACATGAAGTAGGGAAGAGGGGGACAGAGGGAGAGAAGGGGAGGGACAGAGAATGGTCCGGAAGGAATTGAAACAAGCAACTCTGCAATCCTATAGCTCTTCCTGAATCCGATGGAATTGACTTTTGACTTATCTTTGGATTATCTGAGCCCCCTGGCTGGGTGATCAAGAATCAGCCACAAATGTGGTGGGGCTTCCCAGGGGAGGGAAGAGCCTGGAAAGTGGGGTCTGCCGGCAGCTCCCCTATAGTCAGAGTGTTCCAGGGGGAGAAGTCCAAGCAGTGGACATTCATTCGGATTGCCCCTGCATCAGGGCAGGTCTGAGCTGCATCCAGGGGAGGCTGGAGAAGGGACCCTCCGGCTCTGAGACCCCATCTGGGATGTTGGTTGGAGTGGGGGGGGCCCATAGGTCCCCTTTCCCCACCCTCTCCCCAAACTAGGCCCTGCTGGTCTGGGGGAAACTGCAGTGCGGCCCCCTCCCCCTCCCACCAGCCAGCAGGAGGAGAAAGCTCGCCTGACCCAGTTTTCTCTCATTGCCTGGGAGGGAGGGAGGGAGGCGGGAAGGCTCTCTGCCTGCGCCCCTGGAGTGAGCCAGCTCGGGCAGGGGAGATCCCTCTGCGGACGTGGGCTCCATCCCCTGATCCCACCTGGCCCCTGGGGACCCAGGGAGGCGCGCAGAGGCCCCTCCCTGGTTCTGCAAGCCCTCTCTCCAGCCTGCCGGCCTCCTGGGCCCCTCACAGTCGGGGGGGGGGTGGGGAGAGAGGAGGAAGAAAAGCAGCAAATAAAAGCATCCTCACTCCAGCATTTCCTGAGGACACTTGTCTCCATCTTTGAGGGGCAGGCACAGAGCTACTCACATCTTAGGCAGGACACCCAGCCTCCCTGCAGGAAAGTTCCAGTAGGGCCTCAGCTTTAACCCTCTGTGACCTGCCGGCTGATTGGGTTAGTTGGAAGCCCGTGATTGCTGGCTGGGAGAGGGGGTGCGCGGGAGAGAGAGTGAAATGGAAAGCCCTCTCCTACGACTATCACCAGAGAGACCTAAGGAAACAGGGGCCCAGAGAGGTGAAGGGACTTACCCGAGGACACACAGCAGTTAGAGACAGCTGGGATTCAAGCCCTGATTTCTTAACAGTTAAGTGCACTTCATCACTGTAAGTGAGTGGGTAGGTCCGAGGTACGTGGAGAGAGGAGGGTGGGGCAGGACTTTGGCAAAGGCGTTGACTCCAGCTTGACGGTTTACCCTCCCCCACCCTGCGGCATTATTATCCCCATTTGACGGATGAGGAAATTGAGGCTCAGAGAGTGAAGGTCACCTGCTACTAAGTAGCCGTATTGAGATGTGAGCCCAGCAGGGTCTGAGTCCAGAGGCCGACTCTTCTCTCTATGATGTTGTTGCGACTTCGGGGTCCTCTTTGAGGGTCTGGCTTAGAACAGACTTGCCTTCCGGGCCAGCGCCCCTTCCCAACCCTGGTGACTGCTCAGAGGGCCTGCTGCTTGGGCCCAGGCCACCAGGGCTGGTGGCGTTGTCTGTGGATGCCACAGCAGGTGGTCTGAAGGCCAGCCCTGCCGGCCACACTTGGGGGCTCCAGGCACATTCCTGAACCTCCTGAGGCTCAGCGTTTTCACCTGTAAAATGGAGATAGGAAGGACCACCGCTCGGGCTTGTCGTGCGGGTCACCGACGAGGCATCTAAAGTGCTGCTTGCAGGGCCCAGGCGCTCACAGGAGGCAGCTCTTAGGACCTGTTAGATGCCGGGCACCTCCTGGAGGGCGCTGATGATTGTAAAGGTGGGGCCAGTCCTCCTGGGGGCGTGACCTCACAGCAGGAACGTCCATGGGTGCTTTTGAATGCCATCGTGTCCCCTGAGTGAGACAGGGTCAGGTCAGCCTCACGACACCCTGCGAGACAGGAACCACTGTCACCCCCATTTTCTGGAGGAGGAAACTGAGACTCAGGGAGGAGAAGGGACTTGTTCAGGGACCCACAGCTCTTCAGTGGCAGAGCTGGGATTCTGGCCCAGGCCCCCTGGATTCCACAGCCCACGTCTTAGTCACCCCACTGCACCACCAGCAGGGCAGCCGCACTCCGGGCAGCTTGTGGCCTAGGGGTTTAGAATTTTGCATTTTGGCCGAGGTGGTGGAGGAGGGCTTCAAGGAAGAGAGAGAACTTGAGCTGAGCCTTGAAGGATAGGGGAGGTGAGGAAGGACACAGAGACACGGAGCTGGCGTGTGCAGGGCTGAGCCCACCAGTGTGGCCGGGTCAGGCTGCTCTTGTGGGACTGGGGAAGGGGGTCCTCGGGGTCTGATGCTCTCTTGTCTCCTGTTGTACAGTGAACTTGCTGGACACGTCGACCATCCACGGGGACTGGGGCTGGCTCACATATCCAGCTCATGGGGTAAGTGATGGGCAGTGGGCCAGCGTTGTCCCCTGAGCAGAGAGAGGCTGTGACTCAGAGTCTTATCATCAGATCAAAATGAAGCAGAGGCCAAGAGAGGTGAAGGGACTTACCCAAGGACACACAGCAGTTAGGTTACAGACGGAGCTGCTGATTTCTTAACAGTTTGGTGCATGCAGACCCTTGAGGTTACAGAACCACCCCTGGTGCTGGACTCCTGGCTCTTCAAGTCTGAGGCCCTAGATGTGGGATCCTCATGTCTGTGTCCTGGGCCTGCAGATTGATGATGTGCCACAGCCGGGCCTAGGGTACACTGGGACATATCACTGTCAAGGAACGGGGCCAGGAAGGGCCCCAGCCAGGCCTTTCACCCCTTCTGGATTGGTCCCCTCCCTCATGGCTACCCCGCCCTCACCAGGAGCTGGACCCCTGGAGCCCCCGCTTGTTTCTCTCTTCTGTCAGACCCCCGATGTGGCACTGCCAACCCCCACTGTGGCCAAGCGCCCGGGCCCATCTGGCCTCCCTGGTGACCTGGGCTCAGCCCATCAGGTCCCTGGGGGTCGTGTACTCATGGCAATGTCCCCTCCCACCCTCCCGGGGAGTGGACACGGTAACCTCTGGGCATCCAGGGACAAGGCTGCACTGCCCAGTCCCTCTGCTTCTCTTATCCAAGTCCCAGAGAGGGAGGACAGTAAAGCCAAAGTGACCCCAGGAGCCCGGTGGGGTCCTGGCTCTGCCATCGACGAGCTGGGTGGCCCTGGGTCACTGCTTCCCCTCCCTGAGTCTCAGTGTCCCTGTCTGTATAAAGGGACAAGCATGTGACAACCTCGTGGGGTTTGCTGTGAGGGCGAGGGGAGATGACACGTGGTCTTGCAGTGTGCCTGGCACTCGGTGAGCCCTCTCTAATGTATTATTATTGTTATCGTTGTTGTTAGTGTGTATGATGGTTATATCACATAAATGTCCTTCTACAGATGTGCTCAGAAACACACACACATCCCCGCCGTAGGCACGAGCACGTCACACACACATGGCTTCTTTCATGAACACTTCTGTTTCCTCCTCTGGAGACAGAGGAATGAGAATATTATTAATAATAGTAATGATAATGACCCTGAGAGCTAATATTTGTGAAGGGAATGTTTCTTTACTTTGGGGTAGGGTTTTCACCCGGGCTGTTGGTGGCCTGTGGCTGGGGTCAGGACAGAGCCTGGCTCCTCTCTGGGGGTCTCATCCCCAGGTAGCAGTAAGAGAGTCCACTGTTGTCAGCCCCCGTGCACCAGGCTTCAAGGAGTCATAGGGCTTTAAGCAGTTGAGGAATGTGCCCAGCCTGGTGTTTGGATGATCTTCCTGGGAACCGAAGGTTCTTTGTTTGCAGGGCGCTGTCAAGCAGGGCTCAGCATTCTCTAGTTTCGTTTGGGAGTTAGAACAAATAATAACATATTCATGTAGCTCTTGGCAACTCACAGACGTTATCCCAGTTAATCCCCACAACCAATCCTGTCAGTCGCTATAGCCCCCCATTTCACAGGTGAGGAAGCCAAGGCTCAGGGCAGTGAGAAATAAGTTGCCTACAACAGCCAGGTTCCAAGTGATGGACTCGAGCTCAGATCTGTCTGGGCCTGGAGCCCACGTTAAGTCCCTCGTGCCCTCTTTGGTCTGCGTCCTCGCGGTGAGGCGGTGGGAGGCAATCCTGCATTGTCTGCTGAGCAGGGGACCACCTCCCATCTTTGGGGGGCCTGGACATTGGGTTTGTCCCGAGAGGAGAGAGGCTGGATGAGACCCGTGTTCCCAGACTCTGGGCCTGTGCTGGGCTCTCAGATGAAACATGCAGATGCCCACATGCAGGGGTCTGGGGAGGGGCTTGGCAATCTTTGGTTTAATAAGCTTTCCAGGTGATTCTCCTGCCCAGTGAGCAGGCTGGGGAGCTCTGGATGTGGTCCTGGAGGTTCCATCCACCCGTCTGATTCTGGAGTCCGTTAATCAGCCGGGGCACGAGGGTCATCCAGGGCTGTCTCCAGCATCAGCAAAGCTACCGGATTGTGAGGCAGGCTGCACAGCCTAACGGCCAAGGGTTCTGGGTCTGGACGAGCCGGTGCTCTGCCGCCTCTAATCAGTGGGACTCGGGCAAGTCTTACCTCGCCTCGGCCTCCTCGTTTGTAGCATGGAGATGATCACAGAACCTGCACCCGTGCAGTTGTCATCAGTGAGGATGCGTGGAAAGGATACTTTGCTGATGAGAAACCAGCAGCTCTGAGAGGTTAAGCCAACTCTGCTAAGGTCCGGGGAAGTCTGGCCCAGAACATGCTCTTAATCAGGCTGCGCCCCTCCCTCCACACACTGGGACGTGCGCCACCTCGTCTGGTGATTAACGGCCGCTTGAGAACGCTGCCTTAGATGAGAAAGCGCGTTCGTCTCCGTCGTCTCACTTGATCCTCACCATCTCCTGGAGTAAATGAAAGGGACAGGCGTTAGCTACCCCATTTCACATATGAGAAGCCCAAGGCTCAGAGAGGAGATGTGATGTACCCAGGGCTGCACAGCTGGTTTTCTGCATTCTGTTCCAGAAGGAGGACAGAGTTCCAGAGCCATGGTGGGGGTTGTTGGAGGAGTGTTCCAGGGGCTACAGAGGCAGCTGGGTGGGAGTGGCACCCAGCACGGGGTTGGGGTGCCCCAGGTGGAGAGCAGGGCTGATTCCACCCTTGCACCAGCCTCCAGGAATTCGTGCCACTATGGGAGTCTGCAGCAGCCCCTGGGGCTGGCAGGGCAAGGCCAGGCCGTTGGCACTGGTGTGGCGGCTGGAGTGGACTCAGAGCGAGCTGATTAATTTATCTGGGTCCCTGGCAGGAAACAGACAGGGAGCAGCTGGTTGGCTCTTTGGTGCTCCATTAATTGTGACAATGACTTTAACCCCAGATGTGACAGCACTGCCCAGAGGCCCTGACTGCAGTGTGGGGTGCAGGGCGGGGTTTCTCTTGGGGTGGGGGGGTACCGGAGGCATAAACTCTTTCAGGTGAGGCTGGCACGCCCTGGACCTCTTCCCCAGTGGTCCCTGGAGGCAGGCGCAGGTGGGCTGGGAAGATGATGACAGTTTTTCAGCATCACATAGTCCCTTTCCTCTGGTGTCTGCCTGTGCCAGGCAGAGCTAAGCCCTTCGCAGTCGTCTTCTCCTTTCATCCTCTCACGCCTCGCTGAGGTGGGGCCTGTCTCAGCCCCATTTTACAGATGTCTGCGCTGCGTGTGGAGACCACACAGCTGGCCAAGACGGGGTGAGATGGAAGGGCTTTGTCAGGCAGGAAAGACTTGACCTGCCCGCAGTCCCCGCTCTAGTGCATGTGGAGTAGCTCAGGACCCCACAGATTCTCAGAGCACCACGAGGACTGTCTTTACCTCCCTCGCCCGGACCCCCTTAAGCGATGGGATCTCAAGTTCAAAGACCACTGCACATAGAGGCCCGAGGGAGAAGATGAAAGTGTTGCATCTCTGGTGGAGCCAGGGCAGGACCCAGAGCCCATCGCCTCCATCTGCCCTGGGCCCCCAGCCTCTTCTCAGGGCCCTCAGGAGTCCACTCAGCCCAACAGCGACTGCTCCCGGCCAACCAGCATTCTGCAGTGAGGAAGCTGGGGCCCAGAGAGGAGCGGCGACTTGCCCAAGGTCACACAGCAGCTTGGAGACCGAGCCAGGCCCAGAGCTGGGCCCCTTAAGTCCTGGCTCATTTCTCAACGCTGCGTCTCCAATGTGACTCTTCTGTGTCCAAACCGGGCTCCTTGGTGCTCTGTGAATAACGCTTACACTTCCAGCCCAGCTGGGGCTCTTCCTCCATCCCTGCTGGGGGTTCCTGCTTCAGCCCCGCAGGAAGTTTCACCCACCCCCCGATGCCTGCTCCCTCCACCACCTTGTCTGATGCACTGTGAGGCACTCGAGGGAGGGGCTATTTCTCACGTATTTCTTTCTTTTTAAAAAAGTTGTGGTAAAATACACAGATCATAAAATTTACCAGCTTAACCATTTTTAAGTGTACAGTTCAGTGGCGTTAAGTACATTCACCCGGTTGTGTGACCGTCACCACCATCCGTCTCCAGAACTCCTTTCATCTTCCCAGATGAAGATGGGACACTAACTCTCCGTTGCCCCCCCCCCACCGCCCCTGGCAGCCACCATTCTATTTTCTGTTTCTATGAATCTGACTCAGTACCTCATATGAGTGGAATCATACAGTATCTGTCTTTTTGTGACTGGCTTATTTCACTTTGCATACTGTCCTCCAGGTTCAACCATGCTGTAGCATGCATCTGAATTTCATTCCTTTTTAAGACTGAATGATATCCCCTTGTATGGATGTACCGCATTTTGTTTATCCATTCATCCACCAATGGACGCATTTGGGTTGTTTCTACCTTTTGGCAATTGTGAATAATGCTACTGTGAAAACAAATGTACAAATCTCTCTTTGAGATCCTGCTTTCAGTTCTTTTGGGTATATACCCAGAAGTGGAATTGTTGGATCATATGGTAGTTCTATTTTTAATTTTTTGAGGAACCGCCATACCGTTTGCCACAGCAGCTGAGCCATTTTACATTCCTGTGCACGAGGGTTCCAATTTCTCCACATCCTCACCAACATTTGTTATTTTCTGTTGTTTTGGTAATGGCCGTCCTAGTGGGTGTGAAGTGGCATATTGTAGTTTTGATTGTGTTTCCCTAATGATTAGCGCTGTTGGGCATCTTTGCATGTGCTATTTGGCCATCTGTGTGTCTTCTTTGGAGAAATGTCTATTCAAGTCCTTTGCCCATTTTTTAATTGGGCTGTTTGGTTTTTTGTTGAGTTGTAGGAGTTCTTTATATATTCTGGATATTAATCCCTTATCAGATACATGATCTGCAAATATCTTCTCTCATTCCGTGGGTGCCTTTTCCCTCTGTTGATAGTGTCTGGCTCGTTTCTGAATCACTGATGCCTGACCAGCACCTGGCACAGGAGCAACCACATCAGCTTCCCCGTGTCCTGGTGCTCCCTTGAGCAGAACCCAAGCTGGCCTGTGCGCTCCCCACCATAGATGGGGGCAGAGGGAACATTAGGAACAGCAAGGCAGAGGGAGTCCATCCATCACACAGTCACTCAATAAACACCAATGCCGGGCCGCTGCTGCAGGTTTTGAGGCGGGGCATGAATGGTCAGGTTCACATGTCAGAAAGGTCCCTCCGGCAGCTGATACGGCAGCTGGACCAGTGGGCTCGCTGACTTCCCCAGGCAAGTGCCCCGACTCCGGGAGTGATGGGAGCAGCCACACAGAAACGAGGTCAGGATTTGTAGCTCTGGCGCCGCCACTTCCCAGCTCTGTGGCCTCAGACACGTGGCTCATGTGTCTGAGCCCCTATTTCCTCGTCGGTAAAAAGGCAGCAAATAACACTTCCCCAGAAGGACGTGACACAATGTGAGGTCACGTCTGTAGGGTGCCAGGCCTCTGGCAGCTGTGACGACCCACAAGAAGGTCAGCTCCTCCAGGGCAGAAAAGGTTCTGTCTTCTTCCCCAGGGCGCCCCCAGCACAATGCATGTGGCGAGGGTGACGGGCAGGAGGGCGAGGGCTGACTCTCATGTCACTGGCTGTGCTCTCTCTGCCGCAGTGGGACTCCATCAACGAGGTGGACGAGTCCTTCCAGCCCATCCACACGTACCAGGTGTGCAACGTCATGAGCCCCAACCAGAACAACTGGCTGCGCACAAGCTGGGTGCCCCGCGACGGCGCCCGGCGGGTCTACGCCGAGATCAAGTTTACCCTGCGGGACTGCAACAGCATGCCCGGAGTGCTGGGCACCTGCAAGGAGACCTTCAACCTCTACTACCTGGAGTCAGACCGCGACCTGGGCGCCAGCACGCAGGAAAGCCAGTTCCTCAAAATCGACACGATCGCGGCCGACGAGAGCTTCACAGGCGCTGACCTGGGCGTGCGGCGCCTCAAGCTCAACACGGAGGTGCGCGGCGTGGGCCCCCTCAGCAAGCGCGGCTTCTACCTGGCCTTCCAGGACATTGGCGCGTGCCTCGCCATCCTGTCTCTCCGCATCTACTACAAGAAGTGCCCCACCATGGTGCGCAACCTGGCTGCCTTCTCGGAGGCGGTGACGGGCGCCGACTCGTCCTCGCTGGTGGAGGTGCGGGGCCAGTGCGTGCGGCACTCGGAGGAGCGGGACACGCCCAAGATGTACTGCAGCGCCGAGGGCGAGTGGCTGGTGCCCATCGGCAAGTGCGTGTGCAGCGCCGGCTACGAGGAGCGGCGGGATGCCTGTGTGGGTGAGCACCCCCGCGTGGGCGGGCTGGCGGGGGGCTCAGTCTGGGCTGGCTGCCAGGGTGAGTGAGGGGACGTCACAGTCAGCAGGCGTCTGGGTGGGAACACAGCACCTGGGAAGATGGGTGAACCTCCAGGGTTCCTGTGTCAGCAGATACCCCGGGCCGCCTGTGTGTGTGTGTGTGGTACAGGGGGAGGAGAAGAGAGGGAAATGCCACAGCCGGGTGGTCCCCTCCGTGGGCGGTGTGGAGAGGTCCGTCTAAGGACGCCTGTGTGATGGGTACACCCCTGGGTACGTACCTGTGTCAGGGACAATACTATGAGCTAACTTATGTCGGGCATTGTTCTAAGCACATTTCACGTGTGAATTCAGTTAATCCCCACAACTACCCTGTGAAATGGAAACTACTACTCCTCTGGTTTTATGGATGAGGAGACTGAGGCACAGAGAGGCGAAGCAACTTGCCCAAGGTCATACAGCTAGGAGGTGCGAGGACTGTGGTTTGAGCCCAGAAGTCTGGCTCCTGAGTCTGTGGTCAGAACCACTAGACTTCTAACCTGTGGTGGAGGGGGCAGTGTAACCAGGCCCTCAGTAAGTGAATGCAGTGTGGGGCCACTGTGAAGGTGTGTGGGCAGGGCACCCAGGCAGCACTGCCCAGGTTGGGTACGTTACTGGGGCACCTGAAGTAGCCTGCCTGTGTTCAGGGGGAACTTGTCTAGGGACCTGTGGGAGAGGACAGCCAAGGTCCCTGTGGAGGAGGGTAGCTGGGAGCACCTGGGTCATGAAATGGCGTGGCACCTGTCCCCACGGGTGTACTGCTGGGGTTCCTGCATCAGCCCAGCAGCAGGGCCCAGACCCCAGGCCGTGTGCATGTGTGTCACAGCTGCGCTGTGCCCCTTGTGGGAGCAGTGCCGCCAGGCGTCCTGAGAGCCCGGGAACACTGGAAGAGCTGGTGTGGACAGACAGCTGGTGCCCCAGCTGTTACTGGTCGCCGCCTGGTTGCCCTCTGCCCTTTTTTGGCCTCTCCAGGGACTGGACACGTGGCAGCTCCGCCACTCAGAGCACGGTGAAGGCTGCTGTTGGGACTGTTGGTTCTCCTGGGGGAGGACGGTGTTCCTATGCAGGGATCAGAGAGACGGGGGCCGGTTCCCAGACAGCCTCAGTGAAAACTGGGGCAGGGCCCTGTCAGCCCCAGGAATATCCTCCTCGCTGTTGGTTTCCACTGCACAGGCCCTGAGGCCACAGTTAGAGGGAACTTCAGCCCCCTCAGCTCCATCCCTCTGCCCCTAGCAGGCAGGACAGGCCCCTTGGTGCTTGCAGGACCCAGCAGGGGACACGCTGACAATTTCAATGATGCACAAGGCGGTTCTTGGGAACCAGGATCTTATGTCCAACTCCCAGCCCCTTCCCAGCAGCTGTCTGGGGCCCTCTGGCTTCCTTAAGAAACCTTTCTTCACATTCCCAGCTGCCACAAGTCTTCACCTCTCCTGGACCTGAAACCCCAAAGCACCTTCTGTGACATTTGCCTGTTTCTGCATTTGGTCTACCCTCCGTGGCCCCGTTTGCCAGGCTCCGCAGGCCTCCAGCCTCTCCTGGTTCGTCTCACAGATGAGCCTGTGCTTCTCAACTTCCCGCTGGGTAATAATAGCAACAAACATCCCTATTGCCTTTACAGCCTGCAAGGGGATTCCTCACACATCAGTTCATTTGCTCCAGGCGGGTCTTACAGTTCCATTTGACAGATGGGGAAACTGAGGCTCGAGAGATCGTGTCGCCTGCTTAGGTCTCACAGCTGGTGGGAGGTGGGGCTGGGACCTGAGTCCAGTCAGTCCTGCTCTGAGCCACGTGTGGGCTTTCCACACATCCCTGGCCCACCCCCCGACCGCTCTCCCCATGGAACTGGCTCCCGACATCCTCTCATTCTCACGGGGTAATCAAGTCCCTTAGCTACAATTTTTTGAGTATTTGCCATGGGCCAGGCACTTTAATGAGTGCTTCTTATATGTCATGTCAGTTACTCATCCTGTTGAACATCTGCTGTGTCCCAGGCACGGGGAGTCCCTGCCTCTGGGGAGTTCATGCAGCTTCTCATCCTTGCAACAGTCCACTGAGCTGGGTATTACATCTCCATCTCACGGATGCGGAAGGCTGAGGCCCGTCAACTCGAGTAGCAGAGTAGGGATCTGAGGACGGGTTGTCTCGCTCCAGAGCTGGAACTGCTTCCTCTGTGCACAGAACCCTCTGCAAAGCCCCACTTCCCTCCTCCCCGGGGTAACGTTCAGACGGTTAGTAACTGGTACAGTGTAAGCCGGAACAGTCGGGCCAGCTGGTGGATCCCTGCTCGAGCTCAGCCTCTGCCCCCAACTCTGGACTCAGCCAGTGGGTGCAGGCCACCTGTTAGTCCAGTGTGCTCTGCGTGCGCTGCCAGTACACTGGTCTCCTGACTTCGGGGCTGGGCCTCGCTTGGGGGCCTTGGTACTGCTCCAGCCACCTTGTTTCATGGAGGCAGGAAGTGGAGCCCAGAGAGGGAATGCGTCTTGCCCAAGGTCCCACAGCGTGTCAAGGGCGGGACTCTTGGTGGAAACCCCAAGGCCCAAGCAGTGGGACCTTCCAGGGCCAGGAGAGGCCAAGGCCACCCTCATTTCCTGGTGCTGCTGACACATTCATAAAAAATAATACAGAAAAGCCAAAGCAGGGTTAGGGAATTGCAACGTATTTTGAATTTTACATTTAAATCACAATACAGCATAATCATGCCAGTTGCAAGATAATTACAGGTTTTATAAAAAATACTAATTCATAGTGCACTGCAGGCAGTGAGGTTTGGGAAGGGAATGCCAGTTTGAAGTCGCGTGAGGAGAGACTTTTCTGAGCCCCGCCGGTGGGCTTCTGTGATGGTCTGTGCAACCTCCTCCTTTGCAGGAGCAGCGCAGGTCCCAAACTGAGGCCTCCACAAATGGGGGGCCGGGCCAGAGGCCTGCCAGCGTCCCCCATCCCCATCCCCTCCTTGGTGGGTGGCCCGAGAATGCAGAAGATGGGGGCCACGCAGGAGCTGGGAACAGAGTGGGGGATGCCCTTCCTGGGCTACTTGAGACGTCCTCTCAGAGCCGTGGCCCCCCACCCAACCAGAGTGAGACCTCCTGAGGCCGGGGGCCCCGCCTCCTCCGGGACAGTTCTCTCTGAGCAAGCAGTCGAGGAGAAGAAGGGGCGAGCCGTCTCAGCTTGTCCAGCCCTGAGCCCCCCTTCTGGTGGTAGGAGAAGAGATCCAGAGCTTGAGGCGCGCAGGGGCCGGGCCCACGGTGACAGACACCCTCCCAGCCTCCGGGCTCCCGTCTCGCTGGTTTCGCCCTCACAGCTCCCCTCCGAAGTGGCCAGGCAGCTCTGGATTTTACAGAGAAGACAATAAAGCCCAGGAGAAGAGACCAAGCTGGTCACATGGCTCTTTGGAGGCTTTACTGAGACTGCACCCAGGCCTCAGAGAACCACGGAAGGTTATCAGAGCCACGCGGAGCTAGTCCAGGTTACCCGTGGGGAAACGGAGGCCCAGAGAGGGGCAGTGACTGGCCCAAGGGCACACAGCTAGGAGTGGTGGATCGAAGCCCAAATCTCCCAGCTCCCCGACCAGAAGGCTCCCCACGCCTCACAGTTCCTGCCCCAGTGACCTCCCCACACCCGGCTGCACTGCCCTCTCACTCCAGAAAGGGGAGGACCTCTCAGAGTGTCACCCAATGGAGCAGCAGCCCCAACTCTGAAGTCCCTGTTGCCGTCCTTCCTGTCACCTGGACTCAGAATATAAATCACCCTCGGTGGCCCTAATCATCTTTCTATAAATATCAGAGTCTCATTTCGGAGGGGGAGCGTGAACGACGAGCTCTTTCGCCTTCCTGACTGTGTTTAAAATCTGATTTAGAATTAATTTCCTTTGGTCGTCCACCGGCGGACACCTTATTTGTCAAATCTCCAGCTCTTCGCAGGGGAGAGGAGGGAGGTGGCCGGGGCCTCAGGCAGCTGCCGGCCTGACAGGCTGCCGGGCAAGGTGCCCTCTGCAGGGGCAAGAGCCCCTCCTGGCCCCCAGCCCGGCCCCGGGTGCAAGGCCTCCGGAAGCAGCCTGGGTCGTCGGGCAGGGCCCCGAGCCACTCCATCTGTCTTGGCCATTAATTCCCGGCTCTCCTCTAGGTCTCCAGGCTCCCTGAGGCCTGGTGATTAGTATTCTTATTAAAGATTATTTTATTTTCATTGTGCGGATTAATCTGGCCTTGACACGTTATAGCCATATGGGTATTAGCCGGGCGTGTGAGAATGCCCACTGGTTTATCCCTTCACTCAAATGCAGCAGAATGGCGGGGCCGTCTCTCAGCCCCGACGGGTGTTGAGAGGCTGGTGGGGGAAAGGCCCCAGCTCCCTCCAGAGGCTCCTCCACCTGGGTTTGTGTTCTGGGGCCGGGCACCCAAGCTCCCTGCACCTCTGTTTCCTCTCTGCCCAACAGCTATATTAGTGTTGGCTACGTAGAATTGTAATAGTAAGTGCCAGGACTGGGCTGGCCTGAATTCATGTGTGTTCACTCGTGCCATCCTCCCAACAGCCCGAGGAGGTGGGTCCTATTATTATTCCCAGTTTACAGATGGAGAAACTGAGGCCCAGCAACTCGCCCAGTGTCACTTAGCCTAGGCGAAGGGGTTAGACGAGAAAGGGGACCTACGCAGCCTGCTCCCGAGTTTCTGCTCCTGACTGATAAGGACTAGATGAACTCTCTGAACAGTCAGGGACTCAAAAATGAAGGCTATTATGTTGTGCTTCCTCCATGCCGTGCATGACACCGAAATGCCACCGCGCGTGTGCTTGTCTGCCGCTCACTGCTCTGCAAGCTCCGTGAGAGCAGGACCAGCTCTTATTTATCTGGGGTCTGTAGTAGAAACTCAGTACATTTGAGTGAAGGGATAAACGAGGGACGGAATACTCAGAGGGCCCCTGAGATGCTGACGGACGTGGATCCAATCATTACAGCGAGGATTACGGTCATTCGGTTCAACAACAGGTCCGACAAATCTCTGCTGGCCAACTGCAAAGCCCTCTTCCTCTGCCCGCTTCCTGGGCTCAGAAGGGAGTTCCTAGGCTGTGCCCCAGGACTGCGCCTCCTGGGGGGCTTCTGGGAAGAGGAGGCAAGGTCACGATGTGTCAGCTAGGAGTCCCCTCGACTCTGAGCTCCCAGCCCCCAGTCAGGCCTGAGCCCTCTTGGGGCCTCCCCAGGGGGAGGGAAGATGTCTCAAAACTGAGGCATATTTCCCCGACTCCCCGACGTCTAAGCCCTTCCTGGCTCCACGGCCTCTGAGTCTGTCAGGCAGCTTAAGGGACTTATCATCTCTCCTGATTTCAGGTTTTCTTTCAAGTTTGTAGAATTTTACAAATTAACCTAATTTTAGCTATTATAATAAAGAGATACGATCAACATCCAAAGAAGAAACGACAGGATGTCTTTTCAAGTGAAGCTTCTCTCAAGCACCGAGTTCTCCAGAATAGGAGTTAGTGGAGAGAGATGCCGGGGAGCTTCCTGGTGGTCCGTCTGCAGAGGAATCCAGTTCCGTAGGTAGAGCTGGCAGTGGCTGGCTGGGTGGCATTTGGCTGTCCTGACCCCCTGGGGTCTCTCTCTGCCCAGAGCAGATAATGGTGGGATTAGCTCAATTTGAAAACTCCCACCGGCATTGACAACTTCTGCCCTGAGCCAGCCCTGGGCCAGACACCGGGAATTCTGAGATGAATAAGGCAGCCCTGGTCTCATTCACAAGGATCTGCCCACAAGGACCTTCTGGCCTGGGAGGAAAGTCAGACACACAGATAAATAAGTCTAGCCGTAGTGTTACAGGTGGTGAGACTGAGCAGGGACTGCAGAAGTGGAAAGAGGGGAGTGGTCGCTTCTGTGTGTGGGTGTGTGTGTGTGTGTGTGTACATGTGGAGGTGTGGAGAGGTCCAGAAAGACTTCATCAAAGGGACTGTTAAAATCAATCTTGACAGGTGGACAAAGGAGAAAAGGCAGCCCAGGAAGAAGGCACAGCACATGCAAAGGCCCTGAGGCAGGGAACAGCCTGCTGGGTGTGGGGGAATGACCAATCCTTTAGTTCAACCTGAGGATGGGGCATGAGAGGTGGCGCTGAAGGAGGCTGCAGGTGTGTTTTGGTCCCACAGGGAGGGCTTTGAATGCCAGGCTTTGTTGTTTAGGGCGTGGGGAGCGCGTGAGGGGTTGAACTGTCAGTGATGGAGGCAGGTGTGCATCCTAGAGAGTCCCTAGACCTAGAGTATCCCCACTCCCTTCATGGCTGACTCCCTCTGGTCCTTTAGGCCTTTAGCTCCTCCCACCATTGCCCCTTTGCCACATTATCCGCTCTATTTCCTTCCTGGAGATGATCACAGCCTCGTTCACTGGGTCTCCCCCTCCAAAATGCCTGCTCCTTGACTGCGAGACCATGTGGGTCTCGTTTGTGGCTGTGTCTCCAGCGCCCAGAGCAGCGCCTGGCACACAGTAGGTGCTCAGAAAGACAGGTGAAATGAACGGTGGTCACTCCAGGAGCTGGGATGGGAGGCAGGGCTGCAGGCTGGTGTGGAGGCTGCCGGGCTCCTCAGGTGAAGGATGAAGCGGGTGTGGCAGAGAGGCTGGAGGGAAGATGGGATGTGAGACAAGTCAGTCCCAGCCAGGGTGGCAGTGACGTGGGGTCTGGGAGGGGTGGGAGCCTGTGAGTCCTGGATGGTCAGCGTTGCCTGGGGAGCTTGTAAAACACAAATTCCCAGGGCTGTCCCTAGTGGCTGTGGTGGGGCCGGGACTCCGTATTTTTATGGAGGTGGTTCCACGTCTGCCCTGCTTGGGAACCGCAGGTCCTACAATCCGTGTCTCTTTTCCAATCACATTTCCACCCATCCCCATTCCCTGTCCGGCTGTCACGTCCCACTCAAGTCACATGCCTGGAGTTTTGGCCCCCCTTTGATTCTTAGCCTCTTGCCCTCTCCACCCTGCCCCCAAGGCTGGTGTCTCACTCAAGAACCAGTGTCCTGTGAAGGACAGAATCAGGCTGGAGACGGGGCCTGGGTGGGAGGGGCCGTTAGAGGAGAGGCTCTTCCCTGTGCCGACTTTGGGGCTGGGACTCAGGTGTCAGGGTCCCAGCCTCAGCTCTGCCCCCGACTTGCTGTGCAACCCTGTGTAAGTCGCAGGCCCTCTCTGTGCTTCAGTCCCTCATCTGCAAATGAGGGTAGGACTGGGTGATGCTGAAGCTCTGCACCTCCGTCCTTCCGGGTGACCCTCCAGGAAGCCCTGGGTCAGAGGGAGAGCTGTCCCCGAGGCCCACCATGGTGGCCTGGCTGGCTCACCTGCAGCTGCCTTCTCCTCCACAGCCTGTGAGCTGGGCTTCTACAAGTCGGCTCCCGGGGACCAGCTCTGCGCGCGCTGCCCTCCCCACAGCCACTCTGCAGCCCCCGCCGCCCAGGCCTGCCGCTGCGACCTCGGCTACTACCGCGCAGCCCTGGACCCACCGTCTGCAGCCTGCACCCGTGAGTACCAGCCTCGGACCCCAGCACCCCTGAGACCCAGACTGGACCAGGACCCTGCGCTTGGGCCCACAGGCCCCAGGGAGCCGGTGCTCTGTGGATGAGGCAGGGACAAGTGGCTCTCTTGGGTCAGGGCCCAGCCTGGGGTCCGGGGCGACTCTGACCCCCCACGGTGGCTTTGAACTCTCTGGGCTCCCAGCCTCTTGTCCTGTGTCACCTGCCATCTCTCCAGGGAAATCTTCCTTCCCTCCTTGGTCTCTCCTCTCTGTTCCAGAGGGCAGACGAGAGCTGGACTCTGGCCCTTCCCAGGGCCGGGTGGCTTTGGTAATCTTCTGGCCCAGCAGTAATGCCAGCGTCCCGGGGGCTGGGGTGGGCAAGCCAGGGGATTTGCCCATGAGGCAAGGGGGGGTGTCACAGAGCCCCCCATCACTGTCATCCTTGATGAACTGGTTGGATCTGCTGAATGCCGGGAGCTGCCCTAGTGGGTGCGGGGTGTGTGCATGGGTGTGTATATGGAGTGTGTGTGGCTGTCTGCGTGGATGATGGCATGCGTGTGTCTGCTTCTGTGTGTGCCTTGGGATGCCTACGACTGTGTGTATCCGTGTCGGCAGCTGCTGCTACAGAAGATGCCTGCAGAGTGTTTGGATGCCTGAGGGTGAGTGTGCAAGGGCTTGTGCCCACGTATGTAAAAGATCCTTAGGGGTGTCTGTGCACACATGTGTGCGCATCTGGGTACCTGCTGGGGGCTCCTAAGTCCCCGAAGAGCTTGAACAAACATGCCTGTGAGCTCAGCATGTGCATACTTGGCCCTGCAAGGGAGGTGTGTGCGGGAGAGGGTGTGGCTGCGTGTGCGCACACCCCGTACACCTGAGGGGACTCCCAGGGCCGCTGGCGCCGCGCCTGCAGGGCTGCGTGACTGTCTTGGCGTTTTGCTGATGCAGCTCCTCTGTTGCCTCCTCTTCCGTGGCCTGAAGGGGCCTCTCATGCTCCCATCCCAGCCGGGGAGGGGCTGCAGCCAGCTCGGCCCACCCCGTTTGCCAACCCTGGGCTCTTGTGGTGGGGGGAGGGGTATTTCACACGGCTCTGATTTTGCCCCCGAATTTACCCCAACCTGATCCCCGTCTTCCCCTCCCCCCTTCTCCATCACCTCCCCCCAGGCTCCCTGCACAGGGCCGGTGAGGGCCCAGGTGTGTTCACACCACATCCACACGTGCGCACACACACATACGTTCCCTCCATCCCTCCCTCCCTCCACTGTTCTGCCCAGACCTGTGCGTTTTCCTCATGTGGGACCGAGATGGGCAGAAGGAATGGCTGAGTGACATAGTGACAAGCATGGGCTCCTCAGGCCAGGTGAGCCCAGCTCTAGGCCGTGGACACTTGCATTCAGCTGGCTGAACTCTGGTTTTTCTCCAAATGCACAATTCAGTGCCCTAAGGTTCTAGAAATCTCAAGGCTGTCAAAGACTAGGCTTTTAATGTTCCATACCCTTCAGATTCTAAGATTTCGCTTGCTTCTGAGATTCTACAATTCTGTGTTCTTACGATCTAAGAATCTCTGCCTGGGATTCTGAGAGTCGGAATTCTGAGCCCCAGGGGTCTCCACAGCCCCCCACGCCCTCCTGGCTCAAATCGCCACCCCCAGGGGCCTACCCCAGTCCCCAACCCTACCCCTCTCCCAGGGTCCTTGTGCTGCCCAGACTGGGGCTCCCTCTGGGGCGGTTAAGGGGCACACAGGGCCGTGGGGGCACCCGTTGGGCTTCCTGGGGCCTCCACTTTGCTCCAGCAAAGTGCTCCGTGGCATTTACGTTAAATCCAACACACGGGCTTAAGGTGGGGTGTGGGACGCAAACAGCTGGGGCATTTCACACCCCGCATGGCTGCTGTGGGCACCCCTCAAGGCTGTGCAGTATCGGTCCCCAGTTCTGGGTGAAAACTTAGGGGAGCACAAACTGTAAAATCTCTGTGGTCCTGCAGGGGAGCTGGGGGTGGGGGTCAGGTTTCTGTGCCCAGACTCTGACACCATGGTCCCAGTCTGATGGCAGAGACACTGCTTCTGCCCTCGGGGAGCTTCCTGAGGATGGAGTAGGCATGACCTTATCCTTAGGGAGCCCCAAATATCATGGGGGTGCTCCAGCCCTTCTCTGGTCTGATGGGAGGAGACTGGACCGGCTCAAATAAATACCCTCCACTCCACTGTCATTCTCTGCCCCGCAGGGCCACCCTCGGCACCTGTGAATCTGATCTCCAGCGTGAACGGGACATCCGTGACCCTGGAGTGGGCCCCTCCCCTGGACCCGGGCGGCCGCAGCGACATCACCTACAACGCCGTGTGCCGCCGCTGCCCCTGGACGCTGGGCCACTGTGAGACGTGCGGGAGCGGCACCCGCTTCGTGCCCCAGCAGACGAGCTTGGTGCAGGCCAGCCTGATGGTGGCCAACCTGTTGGCTCACATGAACTACTCCTTCTGGATCGAGGCCGTCAACGGCGTGTCTGACCTGAGCCCCGAGCCCCGCCGGGCCGCCGTCGTCAACATCACCACAAACCAGGCAGGTAGGCGGAAGCCTCTGTCCGCAGCCTCCCCGGCCCCTGCCCTTCTGGCGTCAGAGCGCTGCTGCGGTCTGGCTGTGGCCTTCTGGGCACAGCCCAGAGGTGGGCAAGTGCCCACCTCTCCTGGCCCTGCGCTCCTCACCAGGACTCAGAGCTACGGGCCTCAGAAAAGTAGAACACGTCCTCTAGGTGGGAGGAACCCAGAAACACAGAGGCAGGCTAGCCTGGCCGTCATGGGCCTGGGTTCCAGAACTTTCCCTCTCTGCCTATTTCCTCCCTGGTGCGATGGGAATAATAGTACCTGCCCCAGGTACTGTTGTGAGGCTGAAGTGACAGAAATGAAAATGCTTAGCCCAGCACCTGGCCCATGCTGCGTGCTCGAGAAATGTCATTAGAAAAATAAAATCATTCTGATTATCATTTTCCAGAACAGCTGCCACTGCTGCCCCTGGGATGGATTTGGTCTCACTGGTTTGGACAACAGCCATTTATCTCTCTGTTTCTAGCCAGTTGGTGGGCTGGATTTAGCCCCTGGAACCTCTTCTTTTCCAAATTCTGGTGGGTCCTGCCTGTCAAGGGGCAGCCTGACCCGAGAGCCCACCGCGGGCAGCTTCCCCATGAAAGCCACCCTGGCACACGCCCTGGACCCCACAGCTCCTCACCCCCATCTCCTCCCCACACCATGCAGGCCTGGCTCAGCAGACACTATTCCCACCATGTCACAGAGGAGGAAACCAAGGCACAGAGAGCCACCCCATGTCACCACATAGGAAGTGGCAGAGTCAGGATTCGAACCCAGCTCTGTCTCACTCCCAAGTGAAACAGGCCTCCCATCTCTGAGCCAGGGCACCCCTCCCTGACGCCAGGGTGTCAGCCGCTCAGGAGACTCGCATCCGACCAGCAGGTGTGGAGCACCCACTGAATGCCAGGCACTGTCCGCGGTGCTGGCCACACAGTGAGGGACAGGCCCGTGTGCCGGTGCTCAGGGAACTGCCTTGCCCACTTTCTAGGGCGACTGAGGCCAGTGGCTGGCTGGTCGGGGTGGAGGGTGGAGCAGAGAACCCAGCAGCGTTCAGACCCCGGTCGATGTGCCCCATCAGTAAAAAAGGGAAACCCTCCCTTGAACCCACGCTCTCCTCCAGCCGCTGGACCATTTCTCCTCCCGTGAAAACGTCCCGAAAGAGTGTCTGTGCTTTGCCATGTCTGTGTCCTCTCCTCTATGGGCCTCTTTGGGCGTCTTTCCCACCTTTCCACAGAAAGTCAACATGCCCACGTGGCCACGTGCTGTGGGCACTGCTCCCCCCGCTCTTCCTTCCTCCTTCTTCAACACTTTTCTCTTGCCTTCCGTGCCCCACCTGCCCCCTATTTCCCGTCCGCCTGCCTGGCCTGTCCTTCTCCATCTCTGCCAGCCCCTCCTCTCTAAACAACCTTGGAAGTCTGGAGGACCCTCCTCTCTTCCCTGTTTACTCAGGTCAACCTTTCCTGAGTGACCTTATGAGGGTCCACGGCTCTGAATTCCACCTCCGTGCTGACATCCCCAAAGTCTTTCTGCAGCACAGACCTCTCCCCAAGGTTCAGCTGCCCTCTCCCGTGTCCACTCGGATGTGTTTCAGATAACCCCCAAACCTGCACCTGCCACAGGCCCCATTCTCGGGACATGGCCTGGTTCATGGGGTTACTGAAGGCCCGAGCCCAGTTGTCCTCCTTGACTCTCTCTCTCTCATGCCACATCCATCCCCTAGCCAGCCCCCATGGGTCCCCTTGAGCATAACCACCTCCACACTTAGTACCCACCCACTCCATCTATCTTAGCTCAAGCTGCCATAACAAAATACCATAGACCAGGGGGCTTAAACCACAGAGATTTATTGCTCACAGTTCTAGAAGTGGAAGGCCACCATCAAGGTGCTGGCTGATTTGGTTCCTGGTAAGAACCCTCTTCTTGGTTGTAGATAGCTGCCTTCTCACTGTGTCCTCACATGGCAGAGGGAGAGCGAACGTTCTGGTCTCTCTTCCTATAAAGGCACTAATCCCACCGTGGGAGCCCCACCCTCATGACCTGATCTGAACCTAGTCACCTCCCTAGGACCCCAGCTCCAAACACTATCACATTGCAGGATAGGGCTTCAATATATGAATTTGGGAGATGGAACACAATTCAGTCCATAGCACCGTCCATGTCCCCATCACGTGTTGCCTGGACAACCAGGGGAGCCCCTCTCACCTTGCCCCGTGACTCATTCTCACACCACATCCTGAATGAGCTTTAAAAATGTGAGGTCTGGTCCTACGTGAGCCCATTAACAGCTCCATCCTGAGCTCAGATACAATTCAGACCCTCCCAGGGCTGGGGGCGGGGGACCCATGTGACCCGCCCCTGCCCGCCTCTCCAGCCTCACCCCATCCACTCTTGCCTGGCTCCCCCAGTCCAGCCACACTGGCCACCAGTCCCCATCCTTGGACACCACAAGCCCTTCCCCACCCCGGGCCTCGGCCTTGCTTCCCCATTGGAGTGACACGCTCTTCCCTGGGACGTTCCCATGACTGGCTCCTTCAGTCCTCAGTTCAACTGTCACCACTGCCTCAGGGAGGCCCACCCTGACCGCCTCAGCTAAAATGGCCCAGTTCCCTCCCAGCCCCCTGCTTACGTAAGGTCCTCTCCATCACAGCGCCTCTTCATCCTTTCATGGCGCTTAACCAACCAGTAATCATGCGTTGACTTGTTGTCTTATTTGCTTTCTGTCTCTCTTACTAGACCATAAGCTCCTGGAGGGCTGTCTTGGTCACTGCAGTATCCCCTGGTCCTAGCCCGGTGCCCGGCATGTGGTGGCATTCAGGAAACCCTGGGGGGTGATGGAGTGGACGCCCACAGCTCTGAGCTGGGGCCTGGGCAGACAGCATCCCTGAGCAAGTGGGTGAGGTCTGTCCTCAGAGACCACCTGCCCCCCTGCCGACTGGCCCCTGTTCTCCACAGCCACCTCCTCCTTGGAGCCGTCTCTAGTGCCCCACCCTTTCTCCCTCCTGCCTCTGAGCCCTGGTCTCCCTCTGTCTGCCCCACACACGCGACACCTCTTGCCTTGGAAATTCTTTGGTTTTTAAGAGGCGCTCATGTATTCCTGGTGCTGCTGTGTGTTGCTCACGTACAATGGTTGTATCTGATCCTCACCTCCTCCTGGCAGGCGGTGCCCTCTAGCTTCGCTTTCTGGATGGGGAGACTGCCGCCCAGAGACAGTGATGGTCCTAGGCAGCAAGACAGGGGCCAGTTGTGAACCCAGACTTGATTCCCAGGCTGGGGGGTCTCCCCTGTGTTGCACTCTCCAACTTAGCTCTGGAATTGCTTCTTAATTTTTCATGTCAAAGTCATCCAGCAGCATTTATTGGACACCTACTGTGTGCAGTCCCTGCCTACAGGGAGCCCCCAGGTGTGCTGGGGAGATAGGATGCCCAGATATGAGGCCAGAGCTGGCCACGTGGGGCAGGTGGGGAACATGGGAGGTGTGGGGCAGAGAGTAGAACTCAGGGTGAGCAGGGGTAAGAGGAGGCCTGTGGGCTGGAGGAGGGAGTGGCAGCCTTGCGAGCTGTTCCGTGTTTGGCTGTGGCTGGGTCCATATCTGACACTTCCCAGCCGACTCACCTCGGAGGTAATTGCACTGAATGCAGGAGGGAGGGAGGGAGTGGATGAATCAGTCTGTGAGTGAGGGGGCGAATGGGTGGCCTGGTGTGACTCGAGAATACGTGAGCTCAGATGGCCCGGGCCTCAGCTCATGTCCCTTCCCTAAGGATCCAGAGCTGTCCCAGTCACACCCCCCAGACCCAGGCAGTGAGGGTCCGGTTCCTTCCATTCTCCCCCTCCCTCCCTTCTTTCCTTCCTCCTTCCTCAGGTACTCTGAGAGCCTGCTCCACCCCGGGCCCTGGGCTGGGGGAGGGGAGACATGGAGATAGAGACATCAGGCGATGGGGCCCCAGGGTGGACAACAGCGGCTGCTTCACGGGGCTGGCGGGGTCCAGCCTGCTTCCGATGGATGGGCCTGGCCAGAGAGGAGGAGGAGGCAGTGAAAGCTCGGCCGTGGAGCCGACCCCAACATCCCAGAGCAGAGCCAGGTGTGCCGCCCCAGGTGACTGACCAGGGCAGGGCCAGTGATTGGCCGGGAGGCGTGGAGGATGCTGGCTCCCCTGGGGGCGGGGGCAGGACAGTCAGCAAGCTGAGCATGGCCGGAACCAGGATCCCTGCACAGGGCCCTGGGAAGGAGCGGGATGGAGGCCAGTCCCCGTTCTCGCCTGTCTGCCCATCTGACCACAGCGGCCTCCCTCCCCTAGCCCCGTCCCAGGTTGTGGTGATCCGCCAGGAGCGGGCAGGGCAGACCAGCGTCTCGCTGCTGTGGCAGGAGCCCGAGCAGCCCAATGGCATCATCCTGGAATACGAGATCAAGTACTACGAGAAGGTACCACGGGGAGGGGAGGGAGGGGCGGGGGCCAGGCAGAGGACTGGGGCTGACCACCCCTCCCATGGCAGGACAAGGAGATGCAGAGCTACTCCACCCTCAAGGCTGTCACCACCAGGGCCACCGTCTCGGGCCTCAAACCGGGCACCCGCTACGTGTTCCAGGTCCGAGCCCGCACCTCGGCAGGCTGCGGCCGCTTCAGCCAGGCCATGGAGGTGGAGACCGGGAAACCCCGTGAGTGCCGGGAGCGGGGAGGGCGAGGGGGTCCCTGGTGGTCGGGGGGAGGGAACTGTGCGTGCTGAGCTGGTGCCTTTGGTGGATCAGCATCTTTACAGGTGAAAAACAGGCGCAGAGAAGGAAAGGTACTTGCCCAAGGAGGCAGAGCTAGTAACAGCCGGTCAACTGCTGGCTTTTCCTGAGCTCAGTGGGACTTGCAGGTGTCAGGAGGCCCTTTCCAGCAGGATAACCTTGTAATTGTCCCAGAGACCCTTAGTGAGTCGGCATTACCCACATCCCCATTTTACAGACGAGGAAAAGGAGGCTCAAAGCCGTAAAGTGAGTTGCCCGAGGTTACCTGGCAAAGCAGGATTTGAATCTGGTCAGCCTGGGGAAAATTCCATGTCCCTCCGCAGTGTCGTCCGGCCTCCAGGCTCCAGAGCAGTGGTTCTCACAGCGTATTCCAGGACCAGCAGCATCAACCTCACCCGAGAGCTCCCAGAAATACTGATTCTCGGGCCCACCCCAGACCTTCTGAATCAGAAACCCTGGGGGCGGGGGGCAGCAATTTAGGTTTTATCGAGCCGGCAGGGTGATTCCGAGACGCGTTCCAGCTGAGAGCCCCCGCCCCATCTCCAGCCAGCTGAGGTCTTCCCCTGTCCTCCACACCCTCCAGGGGGCGGTGCTGGGATAGAGGGTTCAAGGCCAAGTTCAGGACCCTGCTCACCTGGCACCCTTGGCGCTCGTGCGTCTCAAGTGTTCCTGATGCCATGTGGAGACCACCCAGACGGGAGTCCTGTCCATCCCATGTCCCGTGTGGCCTGGGGTAAATTCCTTGAGTTCTCTGAGCCTCCGTTTTCTCATCTGAAAACTAAAGATACTACCGGGACCTCCCTGGACGGGGTGCGGGGAGGGTTCATGGAGACCGGAACGTGAGCCCTTAGCACATTCAGCTTGCTGTTAGGGTAGCAGGCAGGCCAGGCATTTTCTGACTCGTGATAGGTGAGAAGATTGAGCCTCAGAGAAGTCTAGTGACTCTCCCCGGGTCACACAGTCCGCGGAGGTGGTGGCAGAGGTTGGGAAGGGTCTTGAAGGGGAAGCTCAGCAGAGAGAGGGGTGGGGGCAGAGCAGGAGGGGGCCTGAGAGGCTGCCCGCAGCCCCTGGGAGAGCCGCCAGAGCCCTGGGCCTGAGGCCAGGGCTGAGCCGCTGCCTGCCCCTCCGGTGACCCCTGCAGGGCCCCGCCACGACACCCGGACCATCGTCTGGATCTGCCTGACGCTCGTCACGGGTCTGGTGGTGCTGCTGCTCCTGCTCATCTGCAAGAAGAGGTGGGTGGTCCTGGCCCCCAGCCCCCAAGCCCCGCCCGTGGAGTGCTGCGCCGCCCGCCTGCCCCAGCCCTGTGCCTGGGGCCGGGCTCACTTACAGACACAACTGCTCCTCCTTCCTCCTCCTTCGACACTTTCCTCTTGCCTTCCGTGCCCCCCCCACCCCCCATTTCCCGTCCGCCTGCCTGGCCCGTCCGTCTCCATCTCTGCCAGCCCCTGCTCTCTAAACCACCTCGGAAGGCTGGAGGACCCTCTTCTCTTCCCTGTTTACTCAGGTCCACCTTTCCCGAGTGACCTTATCAGGGTCCATGGCTGTGAATTCCACCTTTGTGCACATCCCCAAAGTCTATCCCCGGTGCAGACCTCTCCCCAAGATCCAGCCACCCTCTCCCGTGTCCACTGGGATGTGTTTTAGATAAACAACCCCCCAGCCTGCACCTCCCACAGGCCCCCATCTCAGGACATGGCCCGGTTCATGGGGTTACTCAAGCCCCGAACCCAGTCGTCCTCCTTGACTCTCTCTCTCTCATGCCACGTCCGTCCACCAGCCAGCCCCACAGCAGAACCGCCTCCATCTCATTTAATCCTAATGACACCCCAGGGATGCAGAGATTCTGACCTCACTGTGCAGGTGTGCATGTTGGGGATCAGAAAGGTTAGGCTGCTTCAGCCAAAGAGATGCCAGAACTGGGGCAGGAACCCACCTGAAGACTCTCGGTCACTCTCCCCACTCCCACTCCATCCAGAGGGAGGTGGACGTGGGATACTGGGCTCAAGCAGGCTTAGGATCCCAGACGGCAAGAATGAAGGATCATCTGATAGACGGAGAAACTGAGGCCCAGGGAAGGGAAGGGGCTTGCCAAGGTCACACAGCAGAGTCGGCCTCAGAAACCTCATCTCTCAACCCCTCCACCAGGGATGCTTTCATGTAAAATGAGGCTGATGATGCCGTAGACTTTGCCGTGAGGGCCAGTGGACTCGCTTTTGTAAACTGTCAAGTGTTTATAAATGTCAAGGATGTCACAGTTCCGCTGGGTGGAGAGCCTGAGAGCAGGGACTCCTTCCTGCAGGGGCAGGGGCAGGGGCCGGGGCTGGGGTGGCAGGTGCTGACCTGAAGTGGGGAGGGGAGTAGAAGGGAGGAGTCCTGACTTGTCCCTGAGTGGGGTCGAGGCTGCCGCTCGGGGTGGTCTGGCCTCAGGCAGAGCCGTGCCCATCCTCCACAGGCACTGTGGCTACAGCAAGGCCTTCCAGGACTCAGACGAGGAGAAGATGCGCTATCAGAATGGGCAGGGTGAGTGCGGGGCCCCGGGATCTGGGGGCAGAGAGGAGGGCACGGTGGAACCAGTGCTGGTGTGGGGGAGGCACAGGTGGGAAGGAGAAAGGTGCCCCCAGAAAAGACCAGAGCCCCAGAGATGGACAGCAGGATGTCACAGAGATCCGAGACCCCACAGCTGTTAACTTTTCTTGGGTTCGCAGACCCCACTGAGGATGCTGAAGACCCCCTCCCAGGGAAACGCACCCAGTGCATGCACTCACACACAGTTTTACACACAATTTCGGAGGGGCTCATATACTCTTGGACAAGAACTCCTGCTACAAAGAGCTTTTTCAGGACTCTGCAGAGACCCCAGAAAACAAGGCAAATATGGGGATGCCTACCTCTGCACCCACTTCTGTGGCCATGTAGGCAGTAGTATCAGTCATGGTCCTGATTCCCGTTGAGCCTGAAGGCAGCCTCAGAGTCCTTCTTCGCACGGTCTTCTAGAGAACCACTTTCAGTCCATCTAAGTTGGCACTTGTGATAAAACCTTTTTTGCCACTTTCCTACCCCAGAACAATTTAGAAAGATCTTAAGGACTCTAGAAGTGACCCCAGAAAATGACAGACATGCTCAGAACTCACTGGAGACCCCAAAGTCCTCTAGAGACTCCAGAGCTGCTCCACTGAGACCCTATTTTCACTTGGCTGGCACTTATTGGGCGCCTGCTGTTTGCCACCACATCCTGAGATTCCCAGAGACGCTCCTGACCCCGCCCCAGACCTGTCCCAGGCCCAGGGAATGCTGGGAGAGAAGTCTTCCTGGACCCCACTGATGGCCCTTCCCTCCTGGCCCTTCAGCGCCCCCACCCGTCTTCCTGCCCCTGCACCACCCCCCGGGAAAGATCCCGGAGCCCCAGTTCTATGCAGAACCCCACACCTACGAGGAGCCGGGCCGGGCGGGCCACAGTTTCACGCGAGAGATCGAGGCCTCCAGGATCCACATCGAGAGAATCATCGGCTCTGGTGAGCCTCCGGGGCTGTGAGGGGGGACATCACGGAGGGGCGCCCGGGGCAGAGGGAGAGGGGGCCGGCAGAGCCGGGCGTGGCCAGGCCCGAGGGGGCACACGGGTGTGAGGCTGGGGGAGTGCGGGGGTCTGGGGCGAGGGGAGGAGGGTCCCACCACCCTCCCCTGCCTACCCCACTCGGGGTCCACAGGAGAGTCCGGGGAAGTCTGCTACGGGTGGCTGCGGGTGCCGGGGCAGCAGGACGTGTCCGTGGCCATCAAGGCCCTCAAAGCCGGGTACACGGAGAGGCAGCGGCGGGACTTCCTGAGCGAGGCGTCCATCATGGGTCGGTTTGACCACCCCAACATCATCCGCCTGGAAGGTGTCGTCACCCGTGGTAGGTGCCAGGCGGGGGCAGCCCCACCCTGCAGGGCCCCACCCTGCAGTGGCCCATCTCCAGACCACCCTGCTCTGCCCCTGCCCTGCCCCTGTCCCCTGGCTCAGGTCCCCCGGTGACTCGGTGCTGGAGAGGGCCCAGGGCCCCAGGACCCCAGTGGGGACCCTAGGCTTCCTGGGGCCCTCAATGCTGGCCCAGCTCCTGGCAGCTCATGAGCAGGGGGCATGTTCCTGGGGTCTCTGATATAGCAACCTGGATGCCCCCACCAAGAGCCCCTTCCTCCTGTCCCCCTCCCCAGGCCGCTTGGCAATGATCGTGACCGAGTACATGGAGAACGGCTCTCTGGACGCCTTCCTGAGGGTGCGTGCCCCGCACCGCCTTTCCTATGGGCTGGGGGGAGGGATGTTCAGTCTGGGTGCTGGGAGATAATATGAGGCCTCCAAACACCTGCGGGAGCTTGGACCCAACAGCCCTGGGGAAGCGGGGCCAGGAATAGGGGAGTCTTATGGGTCAGCCAGTCAAGCTGCCTTTCAGCTCCCCATCACGTGAGAGTCTTGCTGCCCTGCACACAGGCTGAGGGGTGCTCTGTGGGGACCCGGGGCCCTGCTCAGCTGGGAGGCACGTGGCTGTGGTGGAAATCACTGGATTCCCAACACCCGCCCTACTGTTTATTTGCTGGGTGCTCTTAGGCACAGGACTTAACCTCTCTGAGCCTCCATTTCTCCTGCAAAGTGAGTGAGCAGTCATCGCCGCCCCGCCTCCCTCTCAGGGTTGCTCTGAGTGTAAATGGGGCCGTGAGCACAGAGCATAGACGGTCACATGCTGCACACGCAGTGAAGCCCTCTGTCAACTGCAGAGCCCTCCTGAAGCCCAGCCGTGTCCCCCTGCAGACCCACGACGGGCAGTTCACCATCATGCAGCTGGTGGGCATGCTCAGAGGAGTGGGCGCCGGCATGCGCTACCTCTCGGACCTGGGCTACGTCCACCGCGACCTGGCCGCCCGCAATGTCCTAGTTGACGGCAACCTGGTGTGCAAGGTGTCCGACTTCGGGCTCTCGCGGGTGCTGGAGGACGACCCTGACGCCGCCTACACCACCACGGTGCGCAGCCCACACCCCTTCACGTAGCCCCAGGGAGGGGCGGGGGGCGCAGGAGGGCTCCCCGACAGTTCCTGAAGTGAAGCTGGCAGTTTCTGGGTCGCCCTCTACCTGGGGCAAGTCGTGCCTCTTCTCTGCAGCTCAGTTTCCCCCTCTGGGAAACGGGAGCCACCTCTCCCGCTGCTCCTCTGTCACCAGGCGGCTTGGGGAGACACCAGGGCTGGTGGACACTGTCACTTCCTCACGCGGAGATTTTGGGAGAATTGGCATCTCTCTGAATCAAATTGATTCCACATCTGTCTCTAAAGTTTGGCTAAAAACCAGCATTTTCAAAACGTATTCCATGGAGATTAGGGCTTCTCTAGAGGTGCCTGGGGGCTGCCTTCAAGGCAGGAGGCTGAGTGGACGGGGCTCGGGCCCCAGCCCCTGACTCAGCCAGAACCTTCGCTTTGGTTTTTACCCACTGAGCCTCCGAATAAGGTTTCACTTAGAGAAAGGATTTTGCGACCAAAAAAAAAAAAAAAAAGAAAGAAGGAAAAGGAGGAGGAGGAGGTAGAGAGCTTCTGGGCCACGTTCTCGGAGCTCCCTCACTGGTCCAGGCAGCTGCCCGCTGGCCGGCGCTCACGGAGCATCCACTGTGCCGGGTGCTCCACACACGTCCTCGCGTTCGGTCCTCATAGCTACTCTGGGTGCCCGTCTCCCCCATCAGAACGGGTGTCCTCGGAAGGTGGAGGCTGTGTCTCCCCCACTGGATGGCGAGTTTCCAGCCTGGGAGACAGGACCCCAGTGATCCGCTCCCTCGCTCAGGCTGCGGAGAGGCGCTCAACACACCTGTGTCCTTCGCAGGGCGGGAAGATCCCCATCCGCTGGACAGCCCCCGAGGCCATCGCCTTCCGGACGTTCTCCTCGGCCAGCGACGTGTGGAGTTTCGGTGTGGTCATGTGGGAGGTGCTGGCCTACGGGGAGAGGCCCTACTGGAACATGACCAACCGTGACGTGAGTTTGGGGCCCTGGTCGGGCAGAGGCGGAGGGGCCTTGGAGGGAGGGATGGCCTCCAGCCCAGCGCTGTGCCCCCTCCCCAGGTCATCAGCTCCGTGGAGGAGGGGTACCGCCTGCCTGCACCCATGGGCTGCCCCCGCGCCCTGCACCAGCTCATGCTCGACTGTTGGCACAAGGACCGGGCCCAGCGGCCTCGCTTTTCCCAGATCGTCAGCGTCCTCGATGCCCTCATCCAGAGCCCTGAGACGCTCAGGGCCACGGCCACTGTCAGCAGGTGCCTGGCGCCCACCCCAGCTCTGCCCAAGCGCGGCTGCCCCCCCCCAGCATTGCCCCGGAAAAGGCCCGGACTTAGTCCAGGCCGTGACCCCTGGACCGGACCCAGCCTGGGCCCCGGACCCCTGCCTGCCTGATCCCCAGACCTCTGCCCTGCCTGGGCCCCAGACCCTTGCCCTGCCTGGGTCCCTGACCCCTGCCAGCCTGGGCCTTCCTTAGCCCTCTCCTTCCAGGCCTGAGGTCTGGGCCCTCAGACCCCTTGCCCACTGCTGAGCCCGGATGGAGGCTGAGGGTGGCTGTGCCAGGGTCCCCAAGGAAGGCAAAGGCCCTGGCAGGCCGCTTACCAAGGGCCCCTGTGCCTCAGGTGCCCACCCCCTGCCTTTGCCCGGAGCTGCTTTGACCTCCGAGGGGGCGGCGGGGGCCTCACTGTGGGGGACTGGCTGGATTCCATCCGCATGGGCCGCTACCGGGACCACTTTGCTGCTGGTGGTTACTCGTCTCTGGGCATGGTGCTGCGCATGAACGCTCAGTGAGTGAGAGGGTGGGGTGGTCCCCACGGGGGTGCAGCAGGGGGAGAGGGCAGGGGTCCAGAGGCAGAGCCACTGAGGGGGTTAGCAGCTTCGGGGGATGGGTTTGTCCCTCCCAGGCCAACCTGGTGGGCACTCCCTCCCTCACAGGGATGTGCGTGCCCTGGGCATCACCCTCATGGGCCACCAGAAGAAGATCCTGGGCAGCATCCAGAGCATGAGGGCCCAGCTGACTGGCACCGAGGGGCCCCACCGGCACCTGTAACCCAAGGCTACTGGGGCCTGGGCAGCAACCGAGCCTGCTCCCGGCCATGCTGGCCGTCACAGGACGTGTGGGGCTGGCCGGCAGTCAGGGCGGCCCCAGGCCTGTGTCCCTCCCCTTAGGCGCTGGGAGGCCCTGGAGTGATCAGGGGTCAGGGTGCCTGGGAAGGGGCCTTTGGTGCCCAGCACGGCCAGGACACCCGCCCCCAGGGCAGAGGGCCTTCTCTATCCCAGAGGCTGGGGCCTCAGCACCACTGAGCCCATAGCAACATCGCTCACCTGCCTCTGTGTGTGTGTGTGTGTGTGTGCGTGCGTGGGCGCACGCGTGCGCTTGTGCTATAGGGTGTGTTCTCACGAGGTCGTGGGGACCTGTGTGAACATGTGTGATCACGTGTGTGTGTGTGTGTCCACCTATCAGGTCCCAGCATGAATGTGTGCAAGTTGTGGTGTGCATGCTTATCTGTTAAGACTGGGGGCACACATGCGTGACCTTGAGTGGCGTGTCATGAGTAAGAATGCATGTCCCAAGCCTGTGAGCAGGGAACTTGGTGTGACGCTGCCCGTGGAATGTGGGCCTGGGTCCCAGCACCTGCAGGGCCTTGGAGAGGCTCACGCCCACCTCCCCTGTGCGTGGAGGCCGGAGCCAGGGGCCACTTCTGAACTGAACCAGCACCAGGCCCACCCTTGTCTCCGCCCGAGTGAGCCCGCCCCCGGCTCTTTCTCAGGTCCAAGCCCTCCCTCTAGCTGGTGGGGGGCAACCTGCAGCCTCCACCTGGCTCCAACCGCTGCTTCAACAGGAAAACAGGGTTCTCGGCCAGCCCCTCTGGCCACTTTCTGTGGAGGCATCACCGGAGTACGTGAGATGCCCTCAGCTGGACTGGGCTGCCTGGCCAGAGGCCAGGGGCCACCAACTTCCCTCCAGTCTCTGATGCCCTTCCACGGCCCAGGGCTCCTCACCTGGAAGTCCCTCTGCCAACCTCACTGCCCAGCCCTAGCCTGCCCCGCAGCCCCGTGCCTAGGATCAGGGACCAGGAGACCCAAGTCCATGTCCGCTGCACCATCTGAGCAGACCGAGGGCTGGAGCGGGGGTGTGCCTTGTCCAAGGTCACACGGCGGCCAGGTTTCCGAGCTGAGGCCTCTGCCTCCCAGCCTAGGGGTCTTTCCCCCGCAGCATCCCACACGGACAGCTGTGGGTGGAAGGGGCTTGCGAAGCGCCCCTGTCAGAGGCTGACCCTCCCCCTTACGGCCCACCAGGGTATGTAAATATCTTTTTTCTACCATGTCAGAATATTTTTTCCTCACTCCTGACAATGCAAAAATGGTCTTCAAAGCACATAAAAGCAGCAGGGTGAGCAAGTCCCACCCTAGGGGCAGTTCGGCAGACAAGGCCCAAGGAGCCCATGGGGCAGGACGCCGGTGCGCCTGCCGCCCCGAGGGAGGGGCCAGCCCGGCCCCAGCCCCGCCCCGCCCTCCCTGTAGCCAGCACAGCTGTCCCGCGGAGACGCCAGCACTGAGCACCCCTCCCTCCTGCAATAATTCGGGGATCTCAGCCCCGCCGGGTGCCGCAGCCAGCTCTCTGCACCTCTGTATATTATGTTACTATACAGCCGAGCTGTTCTTCCTTCCTATGGAAGTCGGAAACATGGTGAGGACACGATCCGGGAGGACCCTGTTCTCCTCCCACCCACCCCTCTCTCACCCCGTTCCTGGGCTCTGCATCCTCATGGTCAGGGGGACACAGTGGGCCTGGCGCTTGCAAAAGTGTGGCCCCTGCCGCCAGTGTGAGGTGCCCCTCGGGATCCCAGAGATCTGCCTCTCTGAGGTCTCCATCCTGAGTCTTGAACTTGCCCACAATAAGAATAAATTCTGCCTCATCTTTGCCTGTGTCTCCTTTTTTTCCCATCCCTACGACCCTGACATCTCCCGATGAGGAAGGAGCAACCTTATGCTGTGCACCTACTGTATACGTCCCATATATTTCTTCCTCTCTGGTCTTCTTGTCTATCCCAGGAGGTGGACTCATGCCCCCATTTTATCTGTGGGGAGGCTGAGTCTTATAGAAGTCGACTTGCCTGTAGTCAAGTTTGAGGGGAGCTGAATCAGAACCCAGGCTTGTCCAACTCCAACGCCCATGCTCTGCTAGGAAGCACCCCCAAACACCCCAAATTCTGTCTTCCGGATGTGCAGATTGCCTTTGCCTTATGTTCTCTTGTGGAAGAAAGACACCTCCTGGAGGAGGAGCACGTGAGGAAGGAGCATTTCATGGGAACAGCTTCCTCAAGCTGTTACCCCAAGACCCCCAGGGCCCCCAGGTCCCCCCAGGACCAAGGGGTCCACTGGGAGACCTGGGTGCTGTGGGGCAGGGAAGGGAAGACAGGGTGCGAGCATCTCCCTAGTTACATTAGGGGGCTGAGGACCCCACTCTGCTCCAGGAGAGAGGACAGCAGGAGCCGGGGAGATGGCGTCAGGCAGAGCAGAGCCCAGCTGTGTCCCTGGGGGTCAGTGGCTCAGACATTTGGGGAAGTGCCCCTGAGGTCTTCTTGATGAGCAGGAAGTGGTCTCCAGCGGCCTCTGTAGCTGAAGGTCTTCACTCCTGCACCTCCCTCAAGTTGGAAAAGTGGGACCAGGGAGAAAACACCTTCAGTGTGTTGCCTACAGTCTCCCTCATAATCACAACAGCCCTATGACTTTGGTAATGTTGCCTCCATCTTACAGATGGGCACAAGATGCTCGGAGAGGCCAGTGTCCCACGTGGCAGAACCTCCTGTAAAGCTAGATCTGTCTGATTTCACGCCGGGTGTGTTTCCCCCTGAAACTCCAAACTCTGCTCCAGGCCCGCTCCCCCCGGGACCAGCTGTTTCCTGTGAGAAAGAAGCTGTTACTACACACGTTTCTTCCCCAATCATCAGAGCCTATTGCACACCTACTATGTGCTGGGTGCCACTGGGGACGCAAAGATGGAGGAGCTGGAGCCCTTCAGGAGCTGAGACTAGGTGGAGGTACAGAGTGAACAGAGGTGGCTCCCTCAATCAGGTCCAGTGTGCTCAGTGTCCAGGGAATGGGGCGTACAGAGAGGTTAGAGGAGGTCAGAGGAGAGCGAGTGGGCCTGGAGGGCCAGAGCTGTCACCAAGGACTTCCCAGAGGAGGAAGCTAGGCATTGAAGGATGAGAAGTGTTTGGAGTTTTATTTCCCAGACAGCCCCCTGTTCGAGGACAGAATGCGGAGGAGAGAAACAATAACAGCCAGAGAAGAAACAAAGGGTGTTCATGTACGGGAAGCCTCGTTATCATAAAGTCGGCTAGCCCCTCCAATTTAATCTATACATTTTATTTCCGATAAATTTTGCAGTAGGGTTTTCTCTGTAATTTGACAAGCTCATCCCAAAAAGGATATGGAATAATAAAGAACCCAGAATAACCAAGACAAT